ACCTCCTGAAGATCTTCTATGACTCTGTGGTGGCCTCAGCCATCTTTTATGGTGTGGTCTGCTGGGGTGGCAGCATCTCTGCAGGGGACAGGAAGAGACTGAACAGGCTGATCCAAAGGGCCAGCTCTGTTCTAGGCCCTCTGGACCCAGTGGAGCTGATGAGTGACAGGAGAATGGTGGCTAATCTGTCATCCCGGCTGGACAACATCTCCCACCAAACACACACATCCACACATGTTTTTTGACAACGTTGTATTTTACTCGGTTGTATTTTTATTCTATTGTATATAGTATTCTATTCTATTCTATTTTATCCTATTGTGTACAGTATCTTATTCTTATTATCTTATCCTATTCCAGTGGGGGTTTTTCTTTCTAATTTTTGCCATGTGACTTTGCACTGTCCACTTTCTCCTGTAACAAAACAAATTTCCCACTTGTGGGACTAATAAAGGTTATCTTAAAATCATATCAGGGAAATTTACAATACTGATATTTGTGGTGATGTGTAAACAGTTAAAGAAAATGCTCTACATAACTCCTAACAGATCTCAGCAGCTACATTATAAATAATCCAATTTTCACATATATGGGCAAACACACGGTTCATAGAACAAACCAAACTCTTGCAAAGGCAGTAGATCAAATGTTTGTGAAATACGAAACCGTCTAAGGATTTTTTTTTGTATTAGAAATGATGTGTTAACCTCTGTTAGAGTGTGTAAAAAGAATGCAGTGAACCATACTCGCTGACATTGGCAGGGAGGCGGCTGCCGACACACGACTTGTGTAGGCGGAGCTTGTCCCATCTGACCATCCAGATTGATCGGAAAGTCAAAAAGATAATAATAGAGCTATTTAAATCTGTCTTCTTCTTTTTTTGAAAATAAAAAAAACCTTTCTGTCAGTGTCATTCATTACTAAAGGTATTTCCCTAAACAATGAAATGAATGCTAGATATGTGCGATACACACATTAAAAACTGAAGCATACACTTTCCACTTTTACTGCAGCACAAAAAACATTAAAAAAATACCCAAATGAACTGTTTGGAGTTAATGGCCTGAAAGGCCTCGGGTTGAGCCAAGTAAAATGATTTGTACAGGCCAGCGAGAGGTGCTGTTGCACTAAGATCGGCCTCCTGGCTCTGTTTATTAATGAGGGCCTATTATACTCAGCATTAAGGATAAACTCAGTTTTTTAAGTCACTAGATCGAGAGTAAATAATTTCTTTTCAATGGTAAAAACTACAGGTTCATGCAGAATGCATGATTTTTAATAACTGTAGCTCTCTTTGTATAAAACACATACTAATAAACTGATGATAGAACAAAATATAATTTCAGTAATTAAACGGGGAGCGTTATTTTTCAGCTGCTGATGTGTTTTTAATCTCAACTCCCCTTCCTCACTATAAAATCACGGTGTTAGTATCACATTCTTTTACCGGTACCGGTCCGTGAGTCGTTTGGTACGGCGAGAGTTGAGGCTCAGGTGTGAAATGTATGGTTTTCGGGGTTTTTATCGGTTTTCAGCGTTATTTTGTTATCGTTTTTATCATTAACACGGTT